CAGTAGAGGCATCAAAATCACTTCGATTAATTTGTTATCCGGCCTGTTTCTATATAATAAATTAAATTATTGAATTTTCTTAAGAATAACGTCCGTCAAATCTTCGGCATTCGTCTGATATTTACTAAATATCTCTGCTGCCATCTTTGCTCGGTTTGGGAAACGATTTCAACAGTGTGGTTTTAAAGTTTCCCCATGTGTAGGTTTCCTATCCTGGACCCCGACAGAAACTTTCCAATACCCTTGAACCAATTCAGGGCCTGCCCTTTTAGATTAGCCTTAGAAGCTGTAACTTTCTGTAGCTGATTAACGGGATGTAAAGTAAAATGCAATTCTAGCTGCTCTGGGAAGGTCATCACTGAACCTTTGACATCAAACATCGCGGTTAGCTTCACAGCTGCTCACATGGTTTCTACGATGAAACCGAATCCCTCCATAAGATTTGCTGGTGGCTGAAGGACTTGAAAGGTCTGAGAGGTCAACGTAAATTTCTCGTTTTATAACTGCATAATTCGTCAAAATTCTTAGGTGCCAATGTAGGGATCCTCATTTTTATCTCTTAACTAAGTGGGGAGGATCCTAGTGAACTACTAAGCGAATAATCGCTTGTTTATATCCAGAAACAGAAAGGTAAAACTGAAGAAGGGTTAATTACCCTTTATTGCTTACAATAAAGATGTACAGACGATTTCTTTCTTAGGACGTACAACAAAGTCCCCACTTGGGCTTAAACTCAAAAATTTAAGAAATAAGATCTTAACTAATAACTAACTAAGGAGATTTAGCCGAAGCTAACACAATTATAAACTAATTGGCCCCTAATATTAAATTAACTAGCGAAGCTATCAAGGGCACGTAATACGGCGGAGCGTACTATCAGCTTAGAGAGACGTAGCCCAAAGGCAAACGTGCACTAAACAGGAAATATAATTGCCTTTATCAAAGTGAATGGAACTTCGACTTAAATGCTACTACTTATCATTTGCATTTAACGGGAGTCTAAAACTTCATTCTGGTAAGGAATTGTGAACTGAAATTACAAGGGATGGGAAAGTGTGACAAACTTAAAGTAACTTTTATAAACTTTGGATAAACCTTAAAACTTAAACCAGAGACTTTGACATTTCAAAGTTATTAAAAGTGTGATGGGAAGGAAAAATTTACACAATTCTTTCTCGTATATCCTCATATATCCTTTTCTATCCAATGCAGTATTTTAGTAATCTAATTTGAAAATGAAATACTGATCTTCCCCACCACACGAACGATTGTTTGTGCAGTGTATTGGATCGTAAAATGTTACTAGGTTCGCTACGCTCATCTCCTAATGATGTTAACGACATAAAAGATGTAAATACTATTAAATAAACATTTTAAAAGATAGAAAGAAAGGAAAAAATTGAAAGAGTTGAGATTTTAACGATTACCCTAAAGGACTCTTTAAAGTATGGTTTGTCTGTGGAGATTATTGACAGAGATGGCCCAGGTGGAATAGAGAAACATTTTATAGGGTATTAGAGGAATATGCACTTAAACTAACTGAAGAGTTATATATGTTATATACATTTAAAAATTCAAAAAATATGCATTCCAATTCCATAAAAATATTTAATGTTTTAATCAGATATTTTAGGAATTAAAAGCATATTTATTTAAATCAGTCGAATTAAAAATAAAAAAATAAAAAATTCTTAAGAACTGCATCTGTTGCTTTTAAATATTTTAGTCTGTTATTTAATACCAGACAGATTAAATAAGATATAATAATACATTACGTTTTTCCGAAAGGCAGCAGGCTCCAATGGAAAGTGAAACAATTCAGAATTGTGTTTCTTGATTAATGGCCCTTTTCGGCTAAAAATACTAAAAAAATACTAAAAATTAATAATACATTTTAAATTACTTAATACAACGCATTATAATTTAAAACTTAGAAACAAACAAAGAATTAATTTAATCTTGGGATGTCTTCTTCTTGAGCCATGTGTGAATGGGCTGAGCCTAAAGCTACTAGATCTTTACGTGTGTTGGGGTGACTCAAAACGTGACTCAATCTTCTGAAAACTCATTAACAAGTATAGGCACATTTGTGATGAAGAGGCTATATGAAATGTGGACGAAGTTGGCCTGTTAGATGAGCCAACAGCATCGATTCCTAAAGTGTCCTTCCAGAAACGTAAATGTCAAAATTTGTCTGAACAGGTTTGTTGTTTTATTTCGTCTTAATAGTATGGCATTGTGTGGCATCGTGCACAGCCGTTTGTTTAGTTTCTTTTCAACTCTGAAAAAATTTTAGTCTGTGAGAGCAGGTTTGTTCGTATCTGCGGAAAGTTCGTAAAGTTGGAAGAGTCATTTTAATTGCTCATATATTTTAACGCAGTGCTCAAACTGGCCGTCCTCGAATGCTTTTCAGTTATGGATTTTTTGCAAATACCCTGTCTCAATGATTTAAAGATTTTAATTATTTAAAATCCGGTTTATATAATTTTTACTTGCCTTAAAAACAACATGAAAAAGTACCAGGAAATTTATTAATGAAACTAGTAATTAATTTACGATGTGATATAATTCTTATTCAAAGATTTAAAGATATAAATTTTATTAACTTTTATTCATACTTGCCAAATAATAAATAAGCTCAGATACGAATTCTTGCTCTATGAATAATCGCTTTGTCTGGGAATACATCTATATGCAAAGTACTTTTTGTTGATGTTGAAAATTAATATTAAAATAACCTAATTAACTGATGAGCATTTACAATCCGTGATGAAAATAATTTCTAATAATTTTTTGTCAAGTTTTGTTATAACTGGATCGCTGACCTTTCGATCGGAAGCAAAACTCCATCAAACGTCAAGATGTAGTAAGAGCTAAAGAGGTTTATAAATTTACATATAAATGTATGTACTCTTGCTTTTGCGTCAAAGAAAAATTTTATAAATGAGGGGAAAATTGCTATTATTTATTCCCAAGATTTTTCCCACTTGATAAATTTCTATTCTTTTCGTTATTTTTTTATTTCTAGTTTAAATTAAAGCAAATTATTTGATGATTAATTAAAATATTCGAATTATTTGAAAGAAATGGGAGTCAAAAAATTTAATATTTAGCCGTCAATCTATTTGAATTACAAAGTGAAACCAACAATGCATTTCTTTCAGTTACGAAACTTTAGATCTCAGAGAGAAAATAGACATGAATGTGAATTTTTTCGTTTGTGATATTTATTTTTTCGTTTATGATATTTAGTTTTTGTGATTTGTTTCTTATTTTCATCTATTTATGTATCTTAAATCGTTTATGTATCTCTTGATAAATATTTAGTAATAGAAATTTAAAATTCATTAAAAATATTATTTATTAGCCCAAAGTACGTTATCCCAGAAGGGCTATTAATTTCGCTTTGCCATTTTGCGTTGATTCACTATAAATGGCGAATCACTTTTTAAATTGTTGCCACCAAATATCAGAGCCCTGAATTACATTCAAATAAATTAAATAATGAAGAATCTGCATAAATGTATGTACATTTCTGGCATTGTGATAAAACAACGATACCTAGAACCATCAAATTTTGAATAACATACGTCACCACCCGAATATGGGCATCTGGAAGCCCAAATTTGGAATTTGGAATTTATTTTATTATCTATTTCATATTTAAAGGATTTATGACTTTTTGATTAAGAAACTCAACAAGCGAGAAATGGCGACATTATACGGGAAAAAAATATCTCCAGCGCGCGAGACTGTGTATCGGAAACTCTAAAGATATATGTGCTCTTTTAAATATTTTGTGATATTTCTGTTGAATTGAATTTTATGGTTTAAGTGAATATGATATTTAATGAGTAAATGTAACACACAAAACGATAAAAAAGCCCCTTTGGACGTAATATAAAATCTAAAAGCTTTCAGATTTTTTTTTTTTTTTTTTTTTTTTTTTTTTTTTTTTTTTTGCTTGTTTGTTTATAAATGCTCTCATTTAAAAAAAAATATGGATATAAAAAAAATTTGGGGTTCGGTCCGCATGCAGTCTGAGTTTGAGACCACTTTCCTAACGCATCACATAATCTAAGATACTTTATAAAGTACATTTTCACAGTAAAGAGAGGTAGACTGGATGATCAGCCTATTCCGAAGGAAAAAAAAACATTTTTCTATTGTTATTTGACCGAACAATATTTAGACAATTTAATTATAGATCTTTTGGTATATCTTCAATGTTTCAGGTTCACGTACGATATTTATTTATCTATACTACTGATGCTTTTTAGGCTTCTCTGTAAAAATAATTTTACTTTTTCCTGATGTATAATGGTTTGATCAATTTACTAAGGCCTTTGTCTACTACTGTCTATACATTTACGTAACATTATATTACTATATAAATGATATGATAATGATCTGGTTATTGCGTGTCTGTCGTACAAGGTATGGCTTCTGCTGATGACATAAAACACACGTCCATTATCTGTGATAAATTTCATGACATACTGGAATGGTCAAGTTAAGCATGGTTATATTTCTCCCTTTCATTGAATAGTTCAATGTGAAAGAAACCAGAGGATATCGTGAGAGATCAAAAGAGCTCTAAGCTATTTTGGGTATGCAAAAGAGAAGATCCAGATGATATATTGGGATAATTATTATTGGAATGATTTATTGGAAGATTGAAATTTTTATTAAAGTTACTTCTCTCAGAAAGCTCAAAAATAAGAATTAGGGATATATATGTAATTTGGCTAAAATTTACACTATTTTAGTTTTCTTAACATCTACTACTTTCACAGTTTTTCTACTAATTCAAAGTAAATATGTCAACTTTTTAAAATATATTTCAAGAAAATTTCGAATTAATTTTGTAAGCTGTCATCTGTTATTTAGAAAACTGAAAGAATCGTAATGCGTAATGCGTGTTTTTAAGATTTTATTTCTGAATGCAATATTTTGCCTAGCATCAAAAAATAATTCACAATCTTTTGAATTCATTTTAGGAATCTGGACTTTAATTTAATAGGAAGGATTGAAAGTCATGCTTTCGATGGATCCGAAATAGCGAAGTTGTAAGTATTTCTTCTATCTTCAAATGTTCTTTTACGTAAATATTCCCTCAGGTTTTTAACTCAATTTTTCAATAAGGATGTCACGTGAGGTTATTCACAAGTCTCTCATATATTTTTAATATTCTAAAAACAAAGAGAAAAAGAGAATTTTAAATTTCACTTAGAGAAAAGTGAACGTCATTGTCTTGGAATCTCTTCTTCGGCGTCCTTTGGATAAGTCCGTCTGAATTTGTCTTCTAACGTACATTTTTAAACATCGTTTGGATACGTCTTCTAAATAAATGTGTTTTGTTAAACATCATCTGCATACGTCTTTTAAATGCGTCTTTTAAGATGTAGGTATTTATATTCATTTTAATAACTAATAATTTTAATTTTAGTTCAGACTTTCCTATAAGCCTTCATTCCTCCAGTTGTCAGTGCCAAAATAGTTAAATTTGGTAGCGCGCGTGACGTGAATGCAAATTCTACCTTGAGGAGAAAAAGTTTAAATACCGAAGTTTTAGAATGGAAGTTAGAGAGAGTTGAGCTCGAGCAGCCGTCTCTGCCGTAGGTACAATTGCTGATTGCTGGTCCAAGAGGATTAAATGCATTTATCTGCTGCCACTAATTATAGAGGGGGTCGAAGTTCGGTATCTCGCTGAGCCTTGTAGGTTAGTTTAGCACTTTTAAACATTTCAACTTTTGATTTTCAATTACCTGCTTTTCAGTTAACGCCTTAGTAGAGGCAACTCGACGTTAAGTTTGTTAACGTCGAGTTGACGCAGTGTAAATTTTAAAGAGTCAATAAAGGGTTTGAACCTTTCTTTCTGTGTAGTTTCCTGCTACTCCAGTATATAGACAGAAGTTAGTTCACCTAGATACTACAAAGATATCGTCTGGATACATCTTTTAAATGCGTTGTCTTCTTTCTTCTTAAAATAGTTCACGTCTTTAAAACAATAGTATTTTCTTTTCAAATCGGGAAATATTTGTTAAGCTGTGGAGAAAACTAAATCAGAAATTATCAAAATTGGGGTGGCACTATCAAAGGTCTTTCAATTTTTCTCCTGAAACTTTTGAATATGCTTCTTCGTTTCTTTTTTCTCACCTTCTTTATTTTCTTTTGGTCCATCTTTGCTCTCTGTATCAGCGTGGCTGTCATCAGATATTCGAATAGGCGTCTGCTTTCTAGTTGCCTGCTCTTCTTCTGTGGTCTCTGCAGTTTCTGTGCACTTTCAATAGTTTCTTTTGCTTGTCTTCTTGAGGGGAATGTTACTGAAAGTTTTCTAGTAGATTTAGCAATCGATTCATCTTCTTTAGAAACTCACTCTTCTTCGGAAAAGTGATTTTATTCAGAATCACTTACTGCGGTAACAATGCTCATCGCTGGTTGCGAATCTGATCGTGTTTTACTTCATTTTCATTAACAAAATAATCGGCACTTCTCGAGATGTCATCGAAATTCACAATCAGGGAATCATTGCCACTTTCTTTGATTGTAGATGAAGTGTCCAGTTTGATTACATCCTCTACTGTAACAGGAACTACAACATCAGCAGTTTCTGATTTTGGAGGTGAAAAATGAGAATTTACAACTTTTTCGGAACTTTCTTCAGAATCACTTCTTTTGCACTAATCATTTTTCTCTGAGCACTAAAAATTTGCACTGAGTATTTGCCCTTCATAATTACTCCTAGATTTCTTGTTTTCTGCGATAGGTTAAATATTTGATTTAAATGAATAACATCAATTTCGAATTCACCTTCAAATTTTCCAATAAGTTTAATTTTTTACGTTGCCAAATCCCGTTAACTGTAGATTTGTTAACAATAGAGGCTAAAGTTTGGGGGAACCTATCATCTTCAGTGTTTGTTCCTTATTTTTGAGCACGAGTGTGTGTTTATATATATATATCCTACGTTGGGTATATATATATATCCACCTTCTTATCCGGCTTAAAAGTACTTACCAATCCCAATCTTTGGTCGTAGTCATATACTTCCACTTACAGAAGTGTTTTAAATGATAAAAATATTCATGTTTGGAAAATTTTAAAAAAATCAATTTACTACAGATAGCGAAATCTAAATTTTAATATGATTTGGAATTTATGTTTATTATGGGAAAGTAAGAAATGTAAGTTTGACTCCCGTACGACAGAAATTGACCAGGATATTTAATTTCAAAATATGCAAATTTTGAGGTCATTTTACTTTACATTGAGGAATCAGTTAATTAAATTAAAATAATTCTAGGAAATAAAGTTAAATGAAGTGCAGAAAAAAATGTATATAATTTAATAGGCCACAAAAGGAAGTCATGTGGTGTTCACGTCAGACTTTTATGCAAAATGTTTTTTTTATTCATGAACAGAATGTGAACCTTAAAAATACTTAACATTTTTGCCACATCGTGAAATCGCCAATGTGTATTGGAATGAATCACCAATGAACTATAACATTTTAATATGTTTATTAATGCTTAAAAATAGCGTCACAGATAAAAAAATAAGACAATGTAAGATATTAAGTTAACATTAAATTTATAGAAAACTGTACTTTGTATCAGAGTATTATTCAGATAGTTCTTTTTTAATGCATACACTTAAATTGCTGTGCAATTTTCTTTTCCTTTTCGAAGTAGGTGGAGCATGTTTTATGAAAATTTATTCTGATAATGCTGGTGGGCGAGCTTTTTCGAAGAAACTGACTTGTAATACTCAAGGTTTTAGGCTTCCTTTTTTTCACTGGAGTATTTGCTTCGAAAAATGCTACAAAAACCTTTCGATATTTTTATAGTGGTACCTTAGAGCCATTCTTTAATTAATAACGTCTCTAAAGTACCTCCAGAGTTAGTCCCAAAAACTCTATATAAAATCCCCCAGCTAGACCCTCCCCTAGCTGATCTAAAAGTGATATTCCGACTCTGGCATTTTATCGCTAGCCGATGCTTAGGTTCCTTACCTTATTGAATGTGTAGTCTTAAACTACTGCATTTTCAACATTGAATTTCCTTATTTGTTATTGCTTAATTTAATTTAGCCATCAGTGGTGGTTTTTGTCTGAAGCGTAAATTGTGGCTTCTGTGGCAATTTTTATAGTGGTACCTTAGAGCCATTCTTTAATTAATAACGTCTCTAAAGTACCTCCAGAGTTAGTCCCAAAAACTCTATATAAAATCCCCCAGCTAGACCCTCCCCTAGCTGATCTAAAAGTGATATTCCGACTCTGGCATTTTATCGCTAGCCGATGCTTAGGTTCCTTACCTTATTGAATGTGTAGTCTTAAACTACTGCATTTTCAACATTGAATTTCCTTATTTGTTATTGCTTAATTTAATTTAGCCATCAGTGGTGGTTTTTGTCTGAAGCGTAAATTGTGGCTTCTGTTCATAATAGATTAAAATAAAAGGCTACTAAAAAAACCTTCTCCTGTTATAAGGTATTTCTCTCGCCCTCTTGGCATGCCTTCGTGGTGTGGTAGTCTGCACGGTGGGCGCGTATTCCAGATGTCCGCGGTTTGATTCGCGGAGAGGGCGTTGCATATTTTTTGTATATTTTACTGCTTCCGAAACAATCCTAATGTCTCTACACTGTATTTATGAAGATTTAAGACATAGCGATAACTCGCTAACCTGACTAACATTGTCTGTAGCACTTAAACTTAGTTTCCAGATCAATAGCAAACCTACACCTTTTAATTTGGAGAATAATTTCATATATCATATAAATTATATCAGCTTTCAAAACACGAAACACATGCTCCAAAATAGAAAGGATAATATTTTTGCTTACACTCGTACTTATGTAGGAATTGATAAAAGCAGAAAAATAATGACTTTATGCATAATTTATTTTTATGATTTAGCAATGTATTTTAAAGAAGGATTTAACAATGCTTATATATATTACAAATTAGGTACAGTAAAATTATGCATTGCTGTGGATAACAACAGCTCTTAAATACTATGACAACATCTATCACTGTAGTTATCCCACTCGTTTTTAGCCCAAAAAAAAGATGTCAGTCCCCAATGGGATATTGTCTGGAAACGGCATTTTGCGTTGAGTCTCTATCAACGGTGTATCACTTTTCAAATTCTTGCCGCCAAATATTATCGCCCTGCATTATATTTAAAGAAATTAAATCATGAAGAACTGGCATGAATGTATGCAAGTTCCTCGCATTGTGAAAAAACAACGGTACCTAGAGCCATCAAATTTTGAATAATGTAGTCTTCCACCCGAATATAGGCACCTGCAAGCTCGAAATCTGAATTTCATATTTCATATTTTATAAAAATTTAATGAATTTTTGAATACTTGAATAATGACTAAAAGATTTCAAAGCAAGCAATGGCAACGATTTACAGGGGGAAAAAAAACATTTTCATCTACAGCAGCGGGGGAGACTGTCTATCGGAAATTTTTAAAATATGCTGTTTTTAAAAATTTTGTAATTTTGCTGTTCAATCGAATTTAATGTGGCGTAAGCGCGAAGAATGTGCTATTTAATAAATAAAGTAAACACACAAAACGTTAATAATAAAAAAACAAAAAAAGTTTCGTAGAGTCATCTTGAAGGAAAACTAAACATTGACATGATGAAATCGCATACATTATGTATTGGCATACTGACGCTGCTTTAGAAAGTCTAAACTTATACTGCTTTTAAAATTTCTGTAATTTTGCTACTAAATTGTATATGGTGTAAGTGCTAAGAAAATGATGCTTAATATAAAGCTAAAAAAGGCAAAACAAAATGGGTTAGTAGGAGTGAATGTAACAGCACACTGGTAGATTGCGAGCTCAGGAAGAGCGTAAGAAACCTAAACTAACCCTTTTGGTCTACGTTAAAATCTGAAACCTTTCAGATTTACTTTTAAATATTTTTAATCATTTCTGACTTTTTTGAAGAAATAGCTTCCGTATATGAAGTATCATTTTATATATATATTTCTTGCATTCAGTTAAAGTTACTGAAATTTAAAGAAAATTAACCAACACGGCAGCTATAAAT